CTCCATTTTATAAAAAATTTAATTGCAACCACAGTACATGCTGCTGTTTAATCACCAAGCTGTGTCTGATTCTTTTGTGACCCGATGGATCAGTAGTCTGCCAGGCTCCTCGGTCCATGGGATTTCCCGGGCAAGAATACTGGAGTGGGTTAATCCTTCTCCAGGTTATCTTTCCAGTCCAGGGATCAAACCTGTGTCTCCTACACTGGTAGGTGGATTCTTTACCACTGAGCTATCAGGGAAGCCTAACAGTATATGGTTTGTTACAAATGATTGACTTTATCTTATATACAGATCACTACCTACTTTAAAATTTTTATTTAGAGGAAAAGTAAAACAGTAAAAAATAGCTTTGAAGACAGCAAGAATACTCTTTATAATATTTTTAAAAGTCATAAATCAAAGTCATAATCATAGTCATAAATCAAAGTCATAAATCAAAAGGTATAATACCTAGCTTCCATAGTTTGAGGTTTACGATTGTACAGCCTGAAATGTGGGAAATAGATTTCTTTTTCTTTGGGTAATCTGATCCCTACAATATAAGAGACTTAACCTCTTGCTCTTTGAGAGAAAAGGGATTATTTTACTTTTTTGTCAAAAAACAATAATATGCTTTGCTTACAAAGTGAGAATTTGTTTGCATGGAATATTAATAAAAGATATAACTGTATTCATTTTTTCTAGAGCTCATTCTTTGCTGTATTTTCTGCTCTTATCTGTTTGTTTTCTTTCATCTAACTTACATTATCTTCCTGTGTTTCATTTGTCTGTATAAAGTGCCCTGACTTCTTCCTGGAACAAGATGAGTCCAAACAAATGTCCTGTGAGCAAAGAGGAACGTAAGATAAACATGACATTTCACTTTAATGGAATCTGCAAACAGGCTTAATCTGACATATATTACTTGAAGTCATTCATGGACTTCTGAGAATTCTCCTGAATAGAATGTCTGAATATAAAAAATAGTTACTGTAATTGGCTGAATATTGGCCCCCAAAGGTATCAGGTCCTGGTCCCTGGGGCCTGTAAATATTACCTTTTATGGGTAAAGAATCTTGGGATGGGAAGGTTATCTCAGACTCTCCAGGTGAGCTCTAAATGAAATATTACCAATATTCTTATAAGAGCAACAGAGGGAGATCTGATAGAAGAGAAAGGCGACGGGACCACAAAGGCAGAGACTGAAGAGATGTGGCCAGTGGCTGGAGGAGGCAAGGAAAAAGTATTTCTGAGAGCATCCAGAAAGATCGAAGCCTTGTTGACACCCTAATTCTGGTCCAGCGACGGTAATTTTGGACTTCAAGCCTCCAGAACTGTGAGAGAATACATTTCTGTTGTTTTAAGCCACTATATTTGTAATAATTTGTTACAGCAATCATAGTACACTAATACAATTATTATTCTGAATACATGCAAGTATTAAGTGAAATTTTTCCTTTTAACATTCAAGACACTGGGAAAAACAAAAAGTTAATTTCTCAAGTAATGAAATATGAAAGGTGAAAAGATAATGAAATATGAAATATTTCACTTCATAATGAAATATGAAAAGATCAGGAACCTTCTTTAAAGGACTGCCATATGTTTCAGAAAAGTGCTACATTCCAAAATAAATTCTCTCTCTAATATATCAATTTTATTACAGCAAAATTCTCTAGTACCAGGAAAACAACTGGCAACACTAGCCTCTTGTGGGCCTCTCACTGCACACAGTTCTCCAGCCTCGCCTCATGGAATTGTTCCTAGCCCCACTTCCATGTTTTTCCTTCTGCCAAGTTCCCAGAATGTCTTCCTGTTTTGTTGGAAGTAATCTGTTCTTCTACAAAGTCAAAGAACCTAACAGCAGCATTTTACTTCTAAGACACACTACTGCATTTATGGAGATTTGAGTGCAAACGAAGTCCATAGCATCTGTACTATAAAGTGCATGCTGAGTCACTTCAGTCCTGTCCGACTCTTTGCAACCCCATGGACAGGAACATCCAGGCTCCTCTGTCCATGGGATTCACCAGGCAAGAATACTGGTGTGGGTTGCCATCCCCTCCTCCAGGAAGAGGTACTATAAAATACCTGAGGACATCTCAACAGCACTGACCACTTAACCTCATTCATGTTTGCTTTTCTCTAGATCAAGGGGCAGAAAGATAAGCCATCCCCACTCTAGATAATTCTAAAATAAACAGTGCTGAGGATAGAAGCTTGCATTTAGGAAACTATAGGACTCTCTTAGAATCTAAGAGGCAATTATTTAGCCAGAGAAATGTAGCGAATGGAAAGAAGATCTCTTTAACATAAACTATAAACATTTTGTGAAATGTTTCATTCTTAAAGACTATGTCTGCTTCTTAACTGACCAAAAAAAAAAAAGTCTGAAAATGGAGAACTTAATGTACTGGGAAGATGGTAATTTAAGGGGCAAATATCATCCACCTGATTGTAAAACTATCAAGTTGAAAGTCATCCTTGACACCGCCATCCTTTACAGCCAAGCCAAGTTACCATTTTTTTCTTCCCAAGTATTTCTTAACTCTGTTTACTTCTGTCCCCCTGGCTGACCTTTACCCTAATCCAGTCTCCCTAGGAGGGCTTCCCATGAAGGGGAGAAGAGGCAGAGGGGGCCAAAGAGAGGAGGAGCAGGTAGGGACTTAAGTTTTAGTTGTCTTCTGAAAGTGCTGGGCTTTGCGTGGGGAGTGGGCCTTTACAGCATCCACTCTGCAGTATTATATACTTGTTGTCACAAGGGATTTACGCATCTGGCTTGTTTCCCTTCTGGAGAATGGGAAGGACCACACTACCTAGCTCATGGAACCGCTATGAAGCAGTGAATCAACCCGTGAAAGGCACAAAGAGCAGAAACAGGGACACAGTGAGCAAACTCTGCTGGTTTGACTGTCACCTGCTGGGCTTCGAGCTCTCTTCAGGCCCTCACTGGCAACCCACTCCAGGATTCTTGCCTGGGAAAACCCATGGATGGAGGAGCCTGGTAGGCTACAGTCCATGGCGTTGCAGAGAGTCGGACACGACTGAGCGACTTCACTTCACTACTTGACTAGGCTGGGCGCTTCCTTCAGGCTCTCACTACACTGTGGTCCTCTTCTTCTCAGTTAGATGGTTGCAATTTTTCCATTTAGTTATCAAATAACTCTCAAATTCCCATCTCTTCCTCCACTATAAATGTCACAAAGCAGGGATCCAGGCCATGTTTGTTCCACCTAGCACACTGCTTGGCAAAGGAAAGCACTGGAGTGTTTGTTAAGTAAATCTCACAAGTAAAGCAAACGGATAACACTGGTGGGTCCAGTCTGATGCATGTTTCCTACCTGCTGTAGTTTTTCTCTCCAACCTCACTGAATAACAAATTCACTTGGGAAGCTTTCAAATAAATCCAGGCCCAGGCCCCAGAGATTCCAGTTTGCTGGATCTGGAATGGGCCAGGGCCTGTATTTAAAACTGCAAATGATTCTCACTGGCAAAGCAGGTTGGAAAGCTCCAGCTGTTCCTACCTGCTTCAGCTTAGGAGTGAAGGCCTCTGACCTGATCTCAACTTTTGAATTAGACTAAGAAGCTCCCCAGGGGCTCCCCAGGAGGCACAGGCATAAAGAATCTGCCAGCCAGTGCAGGAGACACAAGACATGAAGGTTCGATCCCTGAGTTGCGAAATTTTCCCTGGAAGAGGGCATGGCAACCCACTCCAGTATCTTGCCTGGAAAATTGCATGGAAAATTCCTGGTGGGCTACAGTTCATGGAGTTGCAATGGGTCCAACACGACTGAGCACACATACAAAAATCCCCACCCTTGGTTGAATTCTCCTTTCCCATTTAGATAGATAGTGGAGGAAAAATACTGGAAGCAGCAGCTTTGTGGACAAGATCTTGGCTGATGGAAAGAATGAGAATGGTTCGTACTGTTCAGACCATTGTAAGCCTGCCAGCCAAACCTGTTGGGTGACTCCAGACCCAGCATCTGCCAAGTCGCTCTCATGTAGGACACTGAAGCCCCTAAAAGGGGAGCACATAGGGTCATGAACCTCTTCTTCCTTTTTTAAATTTTTTAAACGGGGCTCTTATTTGATTTAAAAGCCTACATAGAATTTACCGTGGAAGAAAGGTGGTGATGATTGTTCTAAAGCCTGAAAAAGGCTGAACTCCGCATCCATTCTTTCTCTGCACTGCTCCCAAGAGAGACTCTACAGAATCAGAGACTTCCTACCAGTCTCCTGCCCCACATTCGTCCATCTCTGCTTCTTTACACATACCATTTACTTCCATTCTGGCACGATTCCATCGGGATTCCCTAACCCTTCTCTGCTGGCGACCTCAAGACACCAGGCTGCCCTCGGTGAAGCCCTCTCGGGCTCCTGGAGCCGGCGACCCGCGGAGCTCGAAGGCCCCGCGCCCCAAGGGAGGCAGAAGTCGCCCCCCGACCGAAGGAAACCGGGACCCTTGGGTCAAGCTGCGAAGATCAGCCGGCGGGTAACGCACTCTGCCTCAGAAGGCAGGTCTCCGCGCCGCAAACCCCTCGCGTGTCCGGGAGACCCGGGGTCTCCGCGGAGCCAGCCCCTCGGCGCGCGCTGCGCTCAGTCCGGGATTCGGGGGGTGCAGGACGCGAACCCACCGTGTACCGCAGGAGTCGTCGCGTCCCCTCCCTACTCCCCGCGGGGAGAAGGGGACGAAAGGGGTTCTCCGGCCCCTGCCCAACAGGTTCCGCGGGCGCCCGCGAGGTGTGGGAAGCGCGAGCGCGACTGGCCGGGAAAGAAGTCGAGCAATCCCGGGGCGCGTTTCCTGTCGAGGGTCCTCTCCACTGGTCCCCAGCCCACAGCACATCCTGAGTTTGGGGGAGCGGGAACTGTCCCGCAGGCGCGGGGAGGAGTAGAGTGGTGGACACATGGGCTGAGGTCACCCATCCGCTCGGCCGGGGAGCAAAGTTAGGTGCTGCGGGGAAAGGGCCGTTGGCAGCCCCAGGGCCTGACCCTCGGGGCGATCGGCGACCACTCACCTCGAGCCTGCGCCTCCATGGTGGCCGACTTCGGACTGAGAGTGGCGGGGACGCCCGGCGCCTGGCGGAGAAGCAGCGGCGGCGCCGGAGCTCGGAAGGCAGCTGGCCGCGTCCTCTCCCCGCACGCGTGTAGCGAGCGCGGCGTGGAGCGGGTGGGGGACGCCGGGCGGCCTCCGCTGCCCGCTCCCGGTTACCTCCGCCCCTTCCAGTCTACCTGGCCCAGACCGCGCGGGGGTGCAGCCCACCGCTGGGCGCCACCTGCCGGCCGATTCGGGCATCGGGCCGGGGGCGCGCGCTCCGGGCTCAGGGCGCGTGCTCCGCCCGGTGATGTCTGAAGCAGGCTCGAGGTCCGAGGTGCCTTCAATTTTTTTTTTTTTTTTTTTGGGGGGGGGGGGGGGGGGGGGAATACATTTTTTGATACCCACTTTCTATAGTTCATTGAAATAATCCACAAACATAAAAGCATTTTTCTTTTGGGTGTCACCGAGGTTCATGTAAATAATCGTCAGAATCATCTGCCGGTTCACAGACCTGAATATTGATAAATCATTAAACAGTGGCCCTTGTACACTCTAGTGGTTCGGTGGCTCTGGAATCTATGTCAACGGAGCATGTGGGGTAAAATTATGTGTACGTTTAAATCAAGGAAAAGGGTATCAATCATTAACAATAAGAAATAATTAGGAATCAATATCCTAGGTGAAGAAAGTACCACTGTTGACACTTGGCGTCAGAATACTGGAGATGAAAGGGTATGTGTGTATTTATGGGACAGTTTCTTATGAATGCCATTGCTGGCCAATGGCTAGACCCATGGGCTTGCAGCATAGGGGGACAATACTCTGAAAAGAGGAAGGAAACGGGCTTTACAATAAGGGATCTTTGTTTCTGGTGGAAATACAGTGGTAGGCTCCTCTGACCCTCTGGACTCAATACTTTTTTGTCAACTTGTTAGTATAGAACTTCGTCTGATGTGTGTTTCTGTTTAAAAATACCTTATTTACTACATACTGTTCACTCACTAATATTGAACTCCCCCAGCCCACAGCACTATTAAGCTTATTTAACTTAGCAGAATTGAATAGAACTTATGAAGCTTATTCAATATCTGCATTTCTCCCTAAGGCACAGACAGCCTTCAGGCACTTAGGATACCCCACAGCTCTTTAGCACTAGGCTTGGTGCATGCATGCATGAGTGCTAAGTCCCTTCAGCTGTGTCAGACTCTGCGACCCTAGCCCTTAGCTAGGACCTTAGCCCACAGCTAGGACCTTAGCCCACCAGGCTCCTCTGTCCATGGGATTCTCCAGGCAAGAATACTGGAGTGGATTGCCATGCCCTTCTCCAGGGAATCTTTCCAACCCAGGGACTGAACCCAGAGATTGATCTTTCCAACCCATGTCTTTTAGTCTCCAGCATTGGCAGGAGGGTTCTTTACCACTAGCACCACCTGGGAAGCCCCAAAAATCAGTCTGCTGCATTGGCTGGGGATTGAACCCAGGTCTACTGCTTGGAAGACAGCTATGTTCACCACTATACCACCAACTAGGCATGGAGGCCTTTTTAAATAGTAGAACTCACCTTCATAGTAGCCTTCATTGTAGTCTGAGAAGGGCACTTGTGTACCATCTGAGAGCTGAAACAAAAAGGTGGCGGTTAGCCTTTTGATTCCTTTGCTAGGAGGTATATACCAGTCCCCCTAACTTTGTCAGGGCTCTGCACTTGTTCAGGAGGGACCATGAAAGCGCTCTACTGATTCTGGTATCACACATTTTCATAGGGAGGCAAATTCACAGATACAGAATCTGCCGATAAAAAGCATCAATTTTTCTAATCTGAAGCCCATGGGCTGTACCTGTAGGTTGATGAAGCAGTCACATTTTTGAGACAAAAGACTAGAAATTTACATTTCTGTTCCTAGCCTGACCTGACCTGGCAATGTGACCAGAAAGCATGGCAGGCACTAAGAAATATCAGCTCCTGCTGCACCTGCTCAGATCTTTAGCTGTCGCGGTATCTCTTCCTCCCATCTATACCACCTTCATCTGCAAAATACAATGCAGTGTTTACTTACATTTCGTCTTGAATGATTTGCTGTATTGCTCAGTCATGGTTGTTGGTGTTTTGTCCTCTCTTAGATGGGAAAGTCTGTCAGGGTCCAGCGTGGGTCTCTCATATTAAAAGTGTGAAAGTGTTAGTCACTCAGTCGTGTCCAACTCTTTGTGACTCCGTAGACTGTAGCCCATCAGGCTCCTCTGTCGGTCGAACTTTCTAGGCAAGTGGGTTGCCATTTCCTTCTTAGGGAATCTTCCTGACCCAGGGATTGAACCCAGGTCTCCTGCATTGCCAATGTGGCCTGCCAAAGAGCCTTATACAGATTCATAGCTATAAAATGATTTATTGAGTAAACAATTAACTAGTAGTTTCTATAGTTACTCTCAGAATATAGTCTAATAAACAGTAAGAGAGACATATTTTTGCTTGAAAGAGGAACACTCATAATTGCCTGGAACATGTGTAAACACATCAGTGTTTCTTGTTATATTGAAGAGGTCCCTGATTTGTAATCATTGCAATTAAAATTCCTCTATAGAACACCAAGCATGGCTTTTAAATGGTTTTTGGTGATAGCTAACAAGGATGCGCCAAAGGATGAATCAGAATTGGTGATTAAATAACTTTTTAGAGCCTATTTCATTGTTCCGGTCCTCTCTACCCTGGAGATTAAACAGGTTAGAGTTGACTTCTAGCAGTTAAAAGGAGCTAAAAATAGATAATGAGTTTCCACCTTTAGTCATCTAAACTTCTTCTAAGCTCTGACTCATTTTTCTGATTTACAAAATGTTAAAGTCTGCCCTCTTGATGTCTTCTATCACTGTTCATAATAAGAAAATATTGATATTGATTCAGAAACAGCTACTGAAGATCTTCTATGTGCCAAGGACTGTGCTAGATACTAAAGATACAGGAAGAGGCATGATCCTTTTCACCCAGGGAGTTCCTGGACTCATGAGAAGGCAGATGCTCTATAAAGCAGTGCAGTATAATAGGTCCCGTGCCAGAGTTAAGCCAAGTATGCACCTGGGCAAATAAGGGAGCGCTCCTAACTCAGATGGAGGAGAAGACAAAGGAAGGTTTCTTTGAGGATGCTTGCCTCTGCTGAGTCTTGAAGGATGGAGGAATTAACCAAGTTAATGGCTTAGTCAAGGGAGTTTGTGTTTACGTCCTCCTTTTTCTTGGCACTTACGATGGTGAATTTTCTTCACTTCTTTAAAGCTAAGGAAACAGCCATCTTCACCATTGTGTTCTTTGTCTGTGTAGATAATCCACCTGGAAAACAATGGGTGTGTGTTTGGTTAATGAAAACCTGTTCACTCATCCACAATTGATCTTTCTTGGAGGTGGAGATGCAGTGGGAATCTTACATGTACAAAGGGATGGGATACTAACAGTCTTGCCTAAGTAAGTTCCTGAGTCACTTAAAACTCCCCAGAGCACACTCGGACCCGGCTGAGGGAGCCCTTGGGAGATGGGCAGAGTGGAGAAATTTGAGGTACAAATAGGAAAGGGCAGATAAATTATGCCACTCTGACCATGATCCTTACTAATACACTGAAGAAGATGCTTTTTTAAAAAATTAATTGATTTAATTGGAGGCTAATTACTTTACAATACTGTAGGGATTTTTGCCATACATTGACATGAACCAGCCACGGGTGTACATGTGCTCCCCATCCCAAAACCCCCTCCACCTCCCTCCCCATCCCATCCCTCTGGGTCATCCCAGTGCACCGGCTTTGAGTGCCCCGTTTCATGCATCAAACTTCGACTGGTGATCTATTTCACATATGGCAATATACATGCTTCAATGCTATTCTATCAAATCATCCCACCCTTGCCTTCTCCCACAGAGTCCAAAAGTCTGTTCTTTACATCTGTGTCTCTTTTGCTATTTCGCATATAGGGTCATTGTTACGGGCTCAGAGGGTAAAGCCCTGAGTAGGGAAGATTCCCTGGAGAAGGAAATGGCAACCCACTTCAGTACTCTTGCCTGGAAAATTCCATGGACTGAGGAGCCTGGTAGGCTATAGTCCATGAGGTCGATAAGAGTTGGGCACGACTGAGCGACTTCACTTTACCATCTTTCTAAATTTCATATATATGCATTAATATACTGTATTCGTGACTTTCTTTCTAACTTACTTCACTCTGTATAATGGGCTCCAGTTTCATCCACCTCACTAGAACTGATTCAAATACATTCTTTTTAATAGCTGAGTAATATTCCATTGTGTATATGTACCACAACTTTCTTATCCATTCTTCTGCCAATGGACATCTAGGTTGCTTCCACATCCTGGCTATTGTAAACAGTGCTGTGATGAACATTGGGGTACACGTGTCCTTTTCAACTCTGGTTTCCTGGGTGTGTATGCCCAGCAGGGGGATTGCTGGGTCATACGTCAATTCTATTTCCAGTTTTTTAAGGAATCTCCACACTGTTCTCCATAGCGGCTGTACTAGTTTGCATTCTGATCAACAGTGTAAGAGGGTTCCCTTTTCTCCACACCCTCTCCAGCATTTATTGTTTGTAGACTTTTTGATAGCAGCCATTCTGAGCAGCGTTGAGATGGTACCTCACTGTGGTTTTGATTTGCATTTCTCTGATAATGAATGATGTTGAGCATCTTTTCAAGTGTTTGTTAGCCATCTGTATGTCTTTGGAGAAATGTCTGTTTAGTTCTTTGGCCCATTTTTTGATTGGGTCATTTAGAACATGCTTTTGATGCCTTTTGATGAAAGCACTTTTGATGAAAAGTACTAGCTATGTAACTGGAGGGGGCTTCCCCAGCGGCTCAGTGGGAAAGAATCCAACTGCAATGTAGGAGATGCAGGAGATGTGGGTTCAGTCCTTGGGTCAGGAAGATCCTGTGGAGGAGGGCAGGGCAACCCACTCCAGTATTCTTGCCTGGAGAACCCCATGGACAGAGGAGCCTGGAGGGCTCAGTCCATGGGGTCGCGAAGAGCCTGACACGACTGAAGTGACCAAGCGCACACGCACATGTAACTGAAATGACCAAGCGCACACACACATGTAACTTCCAAGCGCGCACACACACATGTAACTGGAGCCAAGTTCCTGTGCCCCCCAAGCCTGAGTTTCGGTATTTTGTGGCATTTTGTGGCAGGATGTTCTTTGCAGCATTAATTAATGTGTTCTTCCCTCCCATCCTCTGGGACCAGAGCAGTGTTTCCCAGCCCACTGATTCACCCTCACAACACAGGGAAGGGGCTTTTAAATATTTCTGCCCACCTGGCTCCCACTCTGCAGACGTTTAGATTTGAAAGCTCTCTGGGTAAT